CCCCTCCCCTTTCCTTCTTTCCTTCTTTCCAGATTTTCCCATCGTAATTTCAGCTAACGAGGATGGACGCAACAATTTCCAGGTCGGCTGCATAAAATTGTTCCACGGTCGTAATCGGTGAGCGGAAGTGTCGCAGCCTCGTGTCGTAACGCGGCTATACAGCTCGGCTGAATCGAATTACCGAGCTGTGCGATGGAAGTTCGCCGCGTTGGATATTTTGCGGAGACGAGACCTTCCCCTTCCCCCTCCCCCTCGTCGGTGTGGGTGGGAAAATAGCTGAGGATAAGGGTAGGAAATTGCGAGAAATTCTATTTTCGCGATTATTTCCTCGCACTTTTTCTTCGGTTCGTCGTCTCTCGAATCCTTTCACCGTTAATAGCCAACAGTTTGTCTTTCCTTCTCTTCTTCTTTTTCCTCCTCCTTCTTTTCTCGAGAAATAAAAAAATTATTCTCCTATAAGAAACGATTACGTACTTGGCCGAAATTCATCAGAGATCAAATAATTCTCGCGATGATTGTTAAACATTTTCTCGATGATTCGAATCGAAGAAGAAAAAGAAGAAGGGGAAGAGGAAATGTTCATCGCTCTTCTCCTTATCTTACGAACGATGTGAGTGGAAGAAACGTTTGCTTCTATTAACTATTATGCTTCAACAATGAATTCAATCCATAGGAAACGCGCGGTCGCGTAACTGGGTCGCAGTCGCGACCGACATCATCCTCATATCGATCGGTTTATTCCCGGCTCGTGTCCACCACTTTTTCAACCCTTTCGCTGGTAGTTCGACGGTCAGCGCACAGGTTGCGCCTCCGTCCAGTTCGCCACTTGGGTCAGTCGGACAGCTTTCCAACTTTCGCCCGTCCTGCCGAAACGAGCCGCAGAGCGCGGGCGGGGCGGGGGGGGGAGGGGAGGGGGGGGGAGAGGAGGAGGAGGGGTAAGGGGCGACTATCGTTGCTCGGATAAAGACGCGTTTCAAGAGCTGGTTTATTAGATATCCGCGTTCGGGGTTGATAAGGAGAGGAGAACGGGGGATGGAGCGAGAGAACGGTGAGAGACGGCCGGCTACCCGACACAGGGGTTGTTAAGGTGCCCATTGAGGTGTAACTAGGGGGATGTTATTAAATTTCGTTCGGGCCTAGCTCGAGGGGAGGCTCGAATTTTATGCTATCCCCGAGGATCATCGAAGTCCGGTACAGTTGCTGTCTTTGTTCCATTCGTGGATATTCCTCTCTTCCTTTCCCTCCTTCCTTTGACGATTCTCTCGCGACGTAACTAGTTGTACTACTTTTTTCCTTCCTTGGTTTCTTTGTCGATTTTTGTTTCGTTTATAAATAATTTTTTTTAGTGAAAATGGACTCTTGGAATTTTTCCAAATATTTTGATCGTTTGAAAAAAATAAAACTTTGATATTTTTATGCTGTTCTTGAGGATCATCGGTTGTCTTTATTCCAATCCTGGATATTTCTCTCTCTTTCTGTCTTTTCTTTAAAGATTCTCTCGTGATATAAAAAATAACTTTTCTTCTTGGTTACTTTATCGATTTTTGTTTAAATAATTTTTAGCGAGAAGGACGAACTCTTCGAATTTTTCCAAATATTCCAATCCGTTTAAAAGGCTAAAACTTCGATATTTTTATGCTGAGGATCATTGAAATTCGGTTGTCTTTATTCCATTCGTGGATATTTCTCTCTCTTTTTCTCCTTCCTTTGAAGCTTTTCTTATAACGTAACTAGCTCTTATAATTACTTTTCTTCTTGATTTCTTTGTCGATTTTTGTACAAATAATTTTTAGCAAAAAATGGATGGACTCTTTTTGCAAATATTTCAATCGTTTGAAAAAAAAAAAAAAAAGAAAAAGAAACTAAAACTTCCTTGGAATTCTTCTTATCTTCAAAGAGAAGCGCGAAGACGCATGCACGTTTCCACGATTCAATTTCAGGAGATGGAAGAAACGAGCAGGGATGGGAGGGAAAATTAATGTATTCGGTGAGTGGCAACACGCGAAAAGATCCTCGCAGAGATTGTCCGAAGGAGACGAAAACACCCCGATCACGTGGCTCCCGGGAGGGCGTCTTTGTCAGTCTGGCTAAGGGGATGAAAAATCGCGAGAGCCAGCCAGGGATTCGAGTTAACAAGAACAGCTCGC